CACAACCAGCCGCACGCGTGAGCATAGCCAAACGAGCTACTTGCTTGCACCCTCTCACATCTGTTTGATTTTTACCGCTAAGTGTATGTTTCACTGCAAGACCTTGACCGACGCAAGTGCTGCACCTCGAAGATGTAGCGGGGAGCGCTGTAGTTGCGGACTCAATCGCCTTGCCCACGGCAACGGACGTCCTCCGAGGTAAACGTATAGTTTGCCATTGAAAAGGAGTGAGTGTGCGAATTTGCTTTGTCGCTACGCTTTCTAAGAAGCTCCAGTACATGTCGCTCGTAAATTTGCTGCTGTGTTGTGCGTAAAACTTGGTCAGTTAGATTATCCACACCGGGAAAGTAGCCTTACCTCCTTGCAAGCGGGGTGATGCGCGCAGTATTCGCAGTAGGATCCAATCCACTACGCGCAGCAGTGCTGCGGCGCATTCACTCTCTCTACTTCTGCGTTTTCCAAGAAACTAGCTAGCAAAGCGCGTAAAACCGCAGCTTGGAAAACTGTGGCCCAATCATATCGTGCCGTCGTGGAAATTCTTCCTTTGTGACGTGGTCTGCGGACGGTATCTTTACGATTCGACGCAGAGGTCGCTGATGAAACTCATTCACATCCTTGCGACCGTTTGAACAAGCTCTCTCTCGTTTCTTGCATAGAGTGGGTACCGCAACGGAAGTGTATCCTCTAATTCGCTGCAAATGGAGAGCGTATCAGGCAGTATGAGTGTGCCGCGGCACCAAACCCGCTCTCTGGCAGCTGTTGAAGCTGGTATGCGACAACAGTTGATAGAAAACGAGTTACGAACGATATGATACAGTCTTGTCACTTGCTCGCTTCAACAACTGGTGGAGAACGGGTCTGGCACCGCGCCAAACTCATCCCGCCTGACACGCCCTTCGTCCGCAGCGAACTAGACTACACTTGCATCTCGACGTTTTTGGGAGATGGAAGATCGCTTATATCGGGTGAAGTTGTCGTAACACTGCAGCTATTCTTGCGAGTCGGATGCGGGCATCTGATTCAACATCGTTGCACGTAATAACACAGTGACATAGGTTGAAGTTATCGACGATCTCTAGAGGTGGGGTATGCTTGTTCATTTGTGCGTTGGGGAAGCGACCTCTGATTTTCCACATTTCAGCGTCAGTAGATCGATCATTTTGCTCCTTGGTGAGGCTCGTGGTCGTCTGCTAGGGTTTACTGTTTTCTCGAGCAAAAGGGGCAATTGCGAAGTGAAATTCAATCTGTTAGCGGTGCTGACAAGGACAAGCGATGCTTGCCACTACGCACCATCGTCCTCTTCATGTCAAAGAAAATCGGCATGAGAAAGGTCTTGTTCGCTGCAAATGCTGGGTCAGGGGGAGGGGTTTGGCCCGGTTCCACCCTGTTTTCCAGCAATCGTTCTCGTTTGCTCCTGTTCAACAAGTGTTCGGAGAACGAGCCAACGTTGCGCTAAACCCACCCCCCCCCCCCTGATGTACCACAGCATCCTCAGCAAACAAATTGTACATCGCTGCCGCATTCCTATGGCAATTACGGAGAACAATGCATAGCCGACGACAAGTGCAGAGCTGAGATACATGTTCTAGAAAGTGCCGATGAACGCCATTTGTAATATTAGTTTACGTTTTGTTATTCTCGCATAATTCCATCGCATTATAGAATCTTGCCGACTCTGAAAATTCTAATATGTAGTGGAGTCTTATCGCGGGCTGAAGTTATCCTTCTCCTTGACTATGTGGTTTCCAATTCCAAGCTCGGCGACAACTTCATCACGCGGGCGACAAAGCTTTCAGGTGCGCGAGGGGTGTGGGGGGGGTGCAGGTTCTTGTTGGAGAAGCATTTTTCTGTGGAAATATCCTATTACGGGCGTTGTTAAGCGGGAGTGAATTTGAAGCTTATGTGGCAGTAGGATCCCTGATTCGTTGATAGGTAAACTCAATACTTAATCATTGAGAGAGATAGCAACTTTTGTTGTTGTTATTCCAGATTTTGTATTTTCAGAGGCTATCCGGCGAATGACTTGAAGTCTATAGAGCTTTCTCTGGAGGATGTCTTTCTGATCGCAGACATGCTGCGGAAACGTCCGGAGATTTTAATGAATCAGAGTTTCCCTAAAAACTTACGTATTGATTGTCGCTCGTTTGTTATCTTTGTATGCCTGCAGTCAGCTAGTTTCTTCTCGTTACCTAACGTTGCTTATATTCCAGAGAAAGAATTGATTACGTATTGTCCGTTTGGGTTCAGTAAGTGGAATTGGCGAAGTCTCTACAATGTCTCATTCAAGGCGAAGAGTTGAGAAGGCGGTGAGGGCTTTAATTCTATTAGGAAAAGGATGGCCGTGGGTTGGTCCGCATATTAAGTAGTGATTACGCATTTCTAGGTAATAGTATATGAAGGAGCGGGTAACAGTTAAGTAATGTTATTCGAGATTGTGTCGCGTTTTTTGTAGAAAAAACTATCCTCCACGCGTTTGTTTCATGAAAGAAACCTTTCAGTTGCAGCGGCTAAAGCCAGTTCATGTATCAAGAATGCTGAAGTTACAAAAGACTCTGACGTCAGGCGGTATCCGAATGCAAGCCTATAAGATTGCACATCATCCTATATGGTGGGTATGGGGCCAAAAACCTATTAGTGCGGCAGTAAACCGCGCTGAAAGGAAATGTGGGGAAAGAATATACCCGAATGCCAAAATGTGACGGATGCGAGCTTATGCGTGCACAAAGCGACGAAGGGGAGCGAATTTGCGAATTCCACTTGTTTCTATCATAGCGGTGTAAGCTCTTTTACTTGTCTCAGCGTCTCAACCCATATAGAATGGGAGAGTTAGCTCGGTAACACGAACAAAGCGAAAAGGAGAGCAAAAATTTCACAAGAGAATGTGAACATTGCTTGAGGCGTGGGGCGTGGGGGTGGAGATTGTCTTCGTCGCAATCGGACCGCGTTATCACGCTTTTTTGAGAAACAGCAGTGGTACATCTTCTATGCTTGGGAGCCGGACCACTGCGTTTGCGCATCAGTTGAACGTGGGACGGCTCTTCATGTTTGAAAGCGTGAAGTCGTCGGCCTCACATTCACTTTCAACGGCTAACCAGCTCAGCACGTTGATCGTGTGAGTGCTGTAAGGTGGTGGCATAAAACCATCAAGCTGAGAGTGAGAGGCGGCCGTGGTGGCGTTTAGATGGCATGCTCGCCCAGGCGGCGTGAGCGCGGGTTCGAATCCCTAATGGGGTCAAGACTCTTGTCCAGAAATTAGTATCGTTTCGATAACATTCAAAGCACGAAGTGGTCAAGTAGCAGTCATCATAATGAAACCGGCTTCGAAGCTTCAGCCATTCCCACATCTTAAGTAAAATAAAGCTGGGAAAGGTTCCCGTGATTTTGCGCTCAAACTGCTGAGCTTTGCCTTTTTTCTAATCTTTACTTGTTCAAGATCAAAAGTGTGACTGCCATGTGTCAGACGGTAGCGCCCTTGAATGAAGTTGATCTACATCTTGACGAATGCGGGTTTATGAAAAGTTTTCATTACCTAGAATATGTTTCGAACAGTTGCAACGTGACTGACTTCATGAATATGTGGCTGTCTATCCTTGACAAGACGGTTGGTATGCTCATGAATGTTCTGATGTTCAAACCATAAAGGTTAGAGCCGTATCATTGCAGGATACCTGTGAACGCTCTACCACTTTCGCTGCCGCCTTGCTTCCCCATTGTGGCATTTCGATGTTGAACAAGTGTTTCTTGATTTTACAAGGGTTGATTGAGCGACATCCTGAAGCTGTAGGTGTCTTTAAGTGGATGATCGTTGAAAAGCTTTACACTCATTTTCAGGTCAATACGTTCCTTATGTTGTATAGTATGCTGTACGCTAAATCATATTTTGACGTCGATAGGCGAACCATTTTGAATTCTATTCGTGGTCTTTTCATCAACAGAGTATGTGAGGTTTTTTAAATTTTCGTTGTAAGGCTGCTCAGGTAAAGGAAGTTTGTTGCAGTTTGCTGTAACACCGGCCATAAATTTTCTGTCCATAGTATGTCGTCAGGCTGGTGAGGAGCGTAGCTTAGCATATGATCTGCTGAGTGATCTGGTGACGAAGTATGTGACTTCTTCTACAGTATTCCTTGAAAGTAGTTTAACACGTTCCGGACCCCGTGACCACATGGTGTGTCATGGATCTTGTCTATGCGGCGTTTTATTCGACTAATTTTGCTTTTCTTTCATGTTCTAATGTTTTCAAAACACGTCCCCTGTTACGAAGATACTCACCTCATAAGCGGTTAGAAAGCAGTAGGAAATAGTGATGAGTTATCTATGAAAAATGACGCAATGATCCGGAGGTGTACGCACTACGGCGGTCCGCTAAGTGTTAATTTTATAGGTTCCCAACAGCATTCGATGCTGTGAAACCTTTGGCCCTCCCTGCTGAGTCGGATTCTCTTGATCTACTTGAATGCAAACTCAAGCTCATGGCTGCACTCTGTATTTCGACGTACGTTTTCTTTTTTGACATTTTTAAGGAGCCAACAACTTTAAGACACGATTTCCAAAGCCCGTTGCTATTGATGACTCTTTAGTGATCGATCTGACGAACTTCTTCCGTCACTGTCCGCTCTGCTGAAGAAAGACGCTGCTGTGGTCAAGGCAGCCGTCACTGTTGTTCTTGCTCTTTGCAAAGAAGAGGTTTTGTTTTCTTATTCAGCATCCTTGTAAACTTACATGGGTTATAAGCTCAGCTCAACCTTCTTTACCCGAACTAAACCCAAACTTCTAACCGAACTATACCCGAACTTCTCCCAGTTCTCATTTACTTTCACGAGACCTTTCTTTTTCCATCCCAGCACACGGCAATCACGTGCTATAGGGCCTTTTTCGTGCAATCGGCTAAACCTACATTTTCTGAACTTGGCTTGATAGTCAATACTATTTGGAGGCTTTCCAAATTAGCACATGAGATTTCAATAATCTTTCTCTCGCCACGCTTCTGTTAGATCACTCACGTTTTTTCATACTGCTGAATGGTGTCAGCAAACCCAACAAAATAAATGCCAGTTTTTCAGATTCTCGATGTTAGTACTATTCGAAAGCAGCTAAGCAGCAGATTGCGGCAGCCAGGATTTGAGGAAGCTCTTGCGAGTTACTGCGAAATTCTCGCTACAAGTGCCACTCTATCTGGTGAAGATAATGAGGTCTGAAGGGCCTTACTTAATACTTCCTGTAGCGTTCGCTTCAGCATATTGAAATCGTCTGGCATCCACTGGTGTCTCGATTGAGGGAGCTGTCTCTTTGAAAGGGTTGCTTTTCACTCCGAAAACTATGTCTCTGATGAAAACCAGTTGAATAGCCGGTCTACGCCGGCGCTCCTCCTTCTGCAGCCCAGCTTGGCCGCGCTCTCCTTCTTTGATTGCGTTGGAGTACGTTGCGGTAAATGCTGGTGTCAGTTAGGTGAATAAATCATGTCTGTTGAGTGCTCTGCAACAACGTTGTAGGTTCTTGACTTTTCTCCATCCACGTCGGGTACGCTTCGAGTGTGTCTACTCTTCGTCACTGGGCAGGTTTCAACACACCACAGATAAACTCTCACCAGATGTTTGTATTCCCTTACGATTTTTTCCGATCTCCAAACTCTCTCAGACCTGGTTATAGAATTGTAAACCCATTGGGAGGGGCATGCTCCAGATGGGCGGTGGCAAGTACCGCCCATCTCGAGCATACCCCGCCTATTTCGGGCACACCTAAGTTCTGCCCATTAGCCTCTTACTGATCTTCGCTTACTTCTCCCCATTTCTGGGTTGCCCTGGACCCGAATTATAATTTTTTTTCCGCGACATCGCTGACTTTCGGCGCATGTTCCGCCCACTGTAGGCGCGGCCGGACATTGGCAATGTGAGAGCCATCCGATCCTTAGTCTTGACTAGTCTCGTCACTAGCACCTTTTCCTATCGTTTGACATATTCACATCGGGAACTCTTCCGTTTACTGACTGGCGATATCTTAACTCGTTCCGATGGAGCTAAGACGAGGATAAAGGGATAAATTTTGGCTGTTCGATGTCAGCAGATGTTGAAGTTTGATTTTTGCATTGTCGTCGTAGCTTGACTGACGTTTGATATTTTAGACGCTTTCACAAGAGTGTGTGGTGGAATTGTGGGAGATCACTCAACTTCGCAGAAATTCTTCTGATGCTGATGAAGCCCGGAGAGCTGCATGGACCGCTTTGGGTCAGTCTTGCTTTTCCATTTTTTCTTAATGAGTCTTTTGCGCAACGGCTCAGAACACGTTTCAGGACATTTATCAACCGCGATTATACTCTTCCTCCTTCTCTTCGTCCTTCTGTCTTGCAGGTCTTTTCTTACTGAAAAGCCGAGACTTGAAGGGAAGGGTCTGTTCCTTCAGTGCGAACTCATTTCTTTTTTCTCCTTTCCCTCTCTTTTCCCTCTTCCTTGTATTCTTCCCTTCAAATACTCGGCCAGAAGGTGCTGCAAGAAAGTACCTCTGGACCCTCGCAGGAGAGGACATCGGTCGACAGAAGTCCTTAACCGTTCAAATACCAGTTTCGCAGTTCGGTGAGGGATGGGGAATGGTGAGGGGGAGACGGCCAAGCGAAATGTCGCGGCAAATTGTAAGGTTGACACAACCCCTTCCCAGAAAGGAGTGTCCGTACGACCCGCCCACCTCCCTCTCTAGTAACTGTGGAGTGTGTGGAAGTATCTGCTGTGTTCAACAGGTTGTAGCAGTTGTGTGTCATGCGAATTTTACCTTTATAAGTATCTGAGTATCTATGGACATTTACCAAACCAACGACCAAATGAAACGATACAAACCGAGTCACTGAGCGTACTGCGGCCGCGTCGCATATTGCGATTGGAGCGCTATCGGCCCGTTGCATCCACATAGTAATATTTAGAAGGGTATAACTTCACTCAGAAACCATCTTTCGAAGAGCGGTAGGACTAATTCATGTTGTATGGGCAGCTCGATACGAAATGCATTACAGCTTTTATCGTGCTTGCATGACGGCTTCTGGTCAGAAAATAATGCGGAGAATTTTTGGCGAAGAACGAGATTTATATGGCATTGGGAAGTGGAAGGTTTTTCATTCCAGTGAGCTCAACCTCTTTGCTGTAGCTCTACTATAGCGAAAACTCGCCCGTGGCGGATTTCGCTTTAAAAGTCAGTCCCAGCTGCAGTATGAGGACCTCCCCCACAAGACCCATGTTTCCATCAGAAGCTCGGTGGGCTTTTAGTATTAGGTCGTGGCATGACCACCTGCTATGTTCCACTGATCATAATTTATTGAAAGCTTAGGCAAATCACCTGTGTCACCTGTGTTCCCGTTGATCATCGAGTTCCTCGAGCGGGCGCCAGTAACGTCTCCATTCGTCCCTGCAACGTGCAAGAGTTGCCCAATGAACTCTCTGCTCGAGGGACACGATGAACTTCATACCATTCGTTCAGAGCTTTCACGAAGAAGTCTGACCATCGCATAGGCGGTCGTCCAGGCGTTCGCTTGACATCCCGTGGAATCCAGTCGGTGATCGCTCTGGTCCAGCGGTCGTCCTCGAAACGCATGACGTGCCCGGCCCACCTGATCTTCGAAACCTTGGCAAATGCGGGCGTCTCTGATCTTCGATCGTCTGGCGGAGTGCGGAGCTCCGGATTCCCTCTCTCACTTGCGTGTAGCGGGAAACTCCGAGCATCGCCCTTTCGATGGCGCGTTGAATAACGCCGACCGCATGCTCATCCTGCTTTCGTAGAGTCCAAGTCTCTGAGGCGTACGTCAAGGCAGGAAGGACCGCGGAATCGAAGAGGTGGGCACGGAGCTTGGTGTTCTTCGTCTTCTTCGCTACTCCCTCGATGTTCTTGAAGGCTCCCAAGCCGCTCGCTTCCTCCTGCTCAGCTCTGGAGCTAAGGTCATTCATCATATTGATTTCACGACCTAGGTACATAGCTAGAGCATTCAGAGATGGTCGTTCCGTTGAGCGTGAATGGGGCATCAGAAACCAATCCGTTTCTCATGAACATCGTTAGATTCAGCCGTAGACCGATTTTTCCACACGCGCAGTCGAATTCAGCCAGCATTCGTTCCGCTTGCTCGATGTTTGGTGTTATCAAAACTGTCGTCAGCAAAGCGGAGATGGTGTAGTTGCCGACCGTCGATCTTCACTCCCATGTCTTCCCATTCCAGTTGACGCATGACGTTCTCGAGAGAGGCGCTGAAGAGCTTGGGCGAGATGGTGTCGCCCTGTCGGACCCCTCTCTTCACGTCGATGATGATCTCCTTGTAGAATGGTGAGATCTTGGTCGTGAAGTTGCTGTAGAGCTCACGAAGAATAGGCAAATATAGTAGTTTAATATATCGTTCGAAAGCACATTTTTCAAGCTATCGTACAAATTTTTTTCCCGTTTCTCTGCCACCATTTCTTCTACGATTTTGGGTCACCCGCGAAGATGTTGTCAAGACGCGAAATCCGACTCATCATGCTTCACGAGTACAAACTCGGCCGTAATGCTGCGGAAGCAGCTAGGAATATCACCAACGCATGGGGCGAAGGTACTACAAATGAGCGCACCACGCGTAGGTGGTTCGACAAATTCCGAAATGGAGACTTCAACCTGGAAGATCAGGAGGGACGCGGTCGGCCATCGGAAGTTAAAGACGACGAATTGAAGGCACAGATAGAAGCCAACCCAAGAGCATCCACAAGGGAAATTGCTGAAGAGCTGGGAGTTGACTTCGGAACTGTAGCACGTCATGGAAAATTGGGAAGGTAAAAAACTTGACAAGTGGATCCCGCATGAGTTGACTGAGCACCAGCAATCTCGTCGTCTCGAAGTCTGTTCGTCTCATCTTTTGCGGAACAAAAACGATCCTTTTCTGCAACGCATTGTGACGTGTGACGAAAAATGGATTCAATACGACAATAGACGACGGTCAGGACAGTGGTTGGATCACGACGAAGCTCCTAAACATTTTCCAAAGCCGGAGTTGCACCAAAAAGGTCATGGTGACTGTTTGGTGGTCTACAGCCGGTTTGATCCACCACACAGCGGAGAAGTACTGTGAGGAAATCGAAAAAATGCACCAAAAATTGCATCGGATTCAGCCGGCATTAATCAACAGAAAGGGCGCGATCCTACTCCATGACAACGCCCGACCGCATGTTTCATTGATGACAACAAAAAAACTGATGGAGTTGGGATATGAAACTCTCGACCATCCTCCATACTCACCAGACCTTTCCCCTACGGATTATCACTTTTTCAAGCATCTCGAAATTTTCTTATCTTCTTATCTTATCTTATCTTATCTATTTTCTTATCTAAACTGCCTTTCCGTTGGCAGAATGATTGATTCTTTTGGTCGTTATTTCGATTGAAAAGCAACACTTTGAAGCGAGTTATGATATTTAAAATATTTGCTTCAAAACGGCCATTATTTTTGCCACGACCTGCTACACTTTCTCCTCACGCGGTGAAAAGGAACGGCAGCATACTTGTGCTGATAAACACCTCCATGAACACATCACCCATTCTGCAAGCTACGTCGCTGATGTGTTGAGTACTGACCCTGCAAACACAACCCTCCCATTAAGAAGGTCAAGACCCAACTTACCAACACCGGCGTTTCACGTGAACTCCATCTCCCAGGCCAACTGGCAGTGAAAAGCCAAGACTGCCTTAGGTAATGATGTGATATGTCATTGTTATCGATTAACGGACATTTAGAAAGCGTCACTTACCCACATGAAGTTAAACGAGCTTCAGACAATCGTTTGTGCTGTTCTGAAAAAAGGGCTTATTTCCCAGGTTGGAAAAAATATGGATTCTCCCAGGATATTACTAAGTAAATGGAGCATGTGGTCGGAGACATAGGAATTGATTCGAAATAGGCTGAATAGGCTACATTTATAGAGATATCTTCCCAAATAAATTTTGTGCAAAACATGGCTTGAATTACTTTGAATAATGGATTCTCTGCTCATAGTCTGCTGTTTGGTAATTACAGGTTCATTTGATGTCACGTTCATTAAAAATACAATCGATGTATCTGGAAACATCTTGCTCGACTTATTCAGAGGGCTCGGCGAAAAAGAAAGGAAAGGTATCATTTTTTTCGGAATGCTACAGATATTTTCTTTGAAGCGCATCGTTTAAGGATTTGTCATGTTTTTGCGTAAGCTGATTTCCATCGAGGTTGAGTCTTTGTCTCGTTCCTTGTACACTCGCCTCCACGTCCGCAAGAGTGCTCTGACAACTACCGTGTACACTCTTCATAACACTCTTGGAAAAAGCAATCAGGAGGTTGTTATCATGTGATATCTTGGTGACTTCCCTTTTTAGCGCCATAATTTAGGCACCTTGGTTCTGGTTGGCCACATTACCTCTGTTTTCTGTGATAGTAGGTGAATATAGCGAAGGAGGGAGAGCTCTGCAAGCAACCAAACTCATGCGCCGGCTTTTGCGAGAGGTTTGTGCAAGCACAACTTATCGTGTCTGAAGAAGAAGATGGCTCAGTTGGTGTTGTGAAGTGAACATTTCCCATTACAGGTGCACGGCGATGAGAATATTTTAGTTGAACTGTTTGCTGGATGGAGAATATGCATCGCAACTCTGCTCGGTATTCATGCTGAATCTACAGATCTTATGAGGTGCCTTCTTTGTTCTGAATACAACTGCAGAAATGTGTTCCCAGTGGACCTTTGGAATTTCGTTGCATCCTTATGCTTGCAGTAACTTTCATAGATTGCTCTATTTGCTCACAAAGTTGTCATACATTTGAAAGTTGTTTTAAGAAGCCGTGATTCTATTGTGGAGGAGTGTAAGCGGTCGATGAAGGAGAGCGAATTTGCAGTTAATAATGTCGTCGTTGTGTTCGCTGTACTAGCTACAGAACTGGAAAGAATGGGCTCTCAGGTAGGGAATGAGCTGTGCTTGCGTGTGCCGTACGCCTATTTGTTAATGCTGTCGAAGTGTATGAATGGAGGACCTGCCGTAACGACTAATTTGTGACTCCCCCCTCTTCAATTTCCGTTCATTGAAATTTCCTTTTGTTCTCGTTCCCAGTGAAACGTTCCTTCTTGTTATAGCTGTCCAGTACAGAAGCGACTACCTCTTTTGAAACAGCTATGCGACCGTGGGTGATTTCTGTTCTCGAGTTCATTTTTCCCCTTATTCTGGACGGATATACACCAACAACTCAGCCAATAGTACAGATTGCTCTGGTGAGCCATTTATAGTGGATTGAGTCGAGAGACTTTGGTTCGACTCCGACTTTTCTAATTTAAGAACAAGCGCTGCATCAAACCGGCTTTAGCTCGCTGTGCTACTTGGACGATTTGTTCGACAGCCTCCACTGAAGTCAAAAACTTCTTCAAGGATGACGTTTTCAATCGTGTTCTGGATTGGCGAATCGTCTCGAAGGTTTGGCTTTAATAGACTGGAACAAGATGTTCTGTTATGCTTTTTTTGCATCTTTAGGATGATTCGAAAGGAAGGGTGTGTGATTTCTTATCCGGTGAAGAACCGGATTCCTCATGGTCTCTACCAAGATCAGAGTTGTGGCAGTTAGCGGCAGCACTGGGTGAGTGTTTTTGCCTGTGACTACATTGGGAAAAGGTGTGTGAATTATCGGCTTTTCTCGTGATTTTTCATTGAGAATATGAAAAAGGTAAACTTATCTACGTTGCTTTCTGAGAGGAAAATGTAGTGTGTTGGAACGAACTACGAGATTCAAATTCCGCCATTATAATAAGCGGTATCCTGTGCCATAGGTTGCACGCCCACTTTTCCTTGCGACCCCTGTCTCGAGGCTAGGGGAAGCACACCTCAGATGGATGGTGAGAGTAGTTCATAGAGTCATATCTGTCGGATCCACTGTACCTTTTTTCTGTTCTCTCAAGTAATTCGATACGTAATGCTTGGCCATGCAAGTAGATCTGTTTCAGAAAGGTTTAAGATATACTATTTTTCGCTTGAGCAGCCTTCTAAGATGATTGACACCTGTGACCTACTACCTACCGAGCGGTTAACTACGCACCTCCTTCCCCTCGTAATTTCCATAACGATGTTGTGCTCTAAACCCAGTCTAAAATCGGTTGCACATCCTCCTCTACAACACTGAGATCTTGCTCACTGAATATATTTCGGTAATGTGCTGTTCAGTACTCTGAACACCACGGATCAGGTGATCGGTTCGTCTCTGAGTTTTCCAGTCTTCCAATTAATGATTGGAGCAATGTTAAGGAGCGAATGAAATTGTCACGAACAGTTTGAGTCTGTCGCTTCCCTTTGAACTGGACATCGAGAAAACCATTGAAGAATCTGCAGCCGGGAGCGATTCCACTGGGGAGCAGATTACTGTGAGATATTCGTTCTTTTGATGCAGAATATTCAACGACTTGTAAATTGATTTTTAGGGACTTTTTGCCAAAATTTCCAATTTGCCTTTACGGATTTTCCAAAAACATGAAAAACGTCTCAGGAAGCTGTTCGATCAACGTTCTAGAAATGCTGGAGAACAAATGAAGAGAGCGCTCTACGAAGGTAATCTGTGATCTGGGCAAGTTTTGCATTTGGTGATTGTATTCTTGAAGGTTTCTCAAAGCTTGCATCGGTTTCGTTGTTGACAGTGACTGTAGATTTTCCGACTGATTATGCTCATCTACCTGAAAACAGCATTCTACGGGCAGTTGTTGCCCAATTCAGGTAAGAGCACAAATTATTTTTGTTTGGGTTGATCTTCGGTCGAGTTTCACCGAGGGACATTAAGTCTCCTCTACGAGCCTTCACACAAAGCCAAGTGGCACGATAAATAATGGAGACGTGTTATAATAAATAAATTGTACTGAATGTCTGGGAATAAGCTGTCTGTCTGTGGCTTACTTCTTGTCCGGCGAGTTCGTGTTGACCAGTCTTCGTTGCCACGTGGGTCTTGCGATCTGAGTGGATATCGTGCAACAGTCAATAACAGAAATACACTGACGAAATATCCGTGGTCGGGCGACCGTCCAGACACGAGTATAGACCTCAAACTTGGGGTAATTAAATTTTATCGGCAAAACTTCGAATTTCGATAACGAACGTGATCAAATCAACAACAGAAATGGAATTGCAATCAGATCATTTGGGTAATTACTGACAAGGGAATGGTTTCAACCCTAGGTACATCAATGGAGCCTCGAATGCTGATTACGAATATGCAGATTAAAAGTGCTACGGGGACCTCCCAGACGAGATCTGGGTGGTCAAAGTTTGAAACTCGTTCTGGCTCGTAAGCGCTGCCGATCGATGATGATAGCTGCGCCCGTTGGCGGGAAAATTTTTGCTTCGTCTCATATAAGAGCTTCTACTCTTATTTTCAAATCCTCCAAGTTTACGGTCCAGCAGAGCAAGCAGATCAAGTAGATCAAGTACATGACGTAATCGATCTAGTATGGATTTGGTCACTATCTGTTCTCTCTGAACTCATTACCCATCCGTCAATTCAAAGTTTGGGTGAGAAACTCGTTCCTGGGGGTATTTTGACCCCTAACACGAATATCACATCCGTTTGACGAGAAAACGCTTGTAACTTTCACGTTCGTGGTCGCTGTGGTCATCAACTGATCTGGCCAAATTGTGATTCCAAAACTTCGAATTGTCGGATGGGTGATAAGTTCAGAGAGGGCAGATAGGGACCAAATCCATACTCGATCGAGTACGTCATATAGTTGATCTACTTGATCTATTGCTCTGCTGGACCGTAAACTCGGAAGAATTCCGAAAATTAGAGTAAAAGCTCTTATAGGAGACGAAGCAAAAACTTTCGCGCCAACGGGATGCAAACCCACGAAGCATTTGCTTTGAAGCGAGACCGTTACCACTAGGCCACGGTGGCACTGCCAACCATCGATCAGCAGCGCTTACGAGCCAAAACTCGCAAACTTTGACCACCCAGATCTCGTCTGGGAGGTCCCCGTAGCACTTTTAATCTGCATATTCGTAATCAGCATTCGAGGCTCTATCGATGTACCTAGGTCTCCATTCAAAGTTCCATGGGAAGTTCAAACTATTCCCTTGTGAGCAGCTTAAATCTACCGGTTCTGCTCCCTGGGATTGTTTAAGTGAAATGGAGAATGTATGAAAACTACAATAGAGTTCTAAATAATACGTGAGATAAAATGTGATTACAAGTGGGTGAGATAAGGTTACACATAGCTAGAACGGAACTAGAAATGGAAAAGATGCGATTATAACAACACGATTCAATACAATGTGATCACATGGAAATGAAGTAGAAGAACCAGGTTGGAATGGAGTCAATTGTAATACACTGAGTGGTGAGGGTGATGGCGGGACCGGAAATGGATTTAACGGATTAAAGGATATAACGACTTCTGCCGTTGATCACTTCCTTTTTGTGGGATCGCCTCGCATTCTACTTCCACGTCAAGACAAACGTAAGTGCTATTGGATGCCGATGTGGCCTATACAATGACTTGCGGTGGCCAGCCGATGTACAAGTCAGTGTTTTATCCTCCCAGACGAATCTGGTACCAATTTACCGTCCCCGGAGGGTAGAAGGTTGGCCTGGCGGGAGTCGACGCCGGGATTGTGAACCCCCCCGCTCGAGTGGTAAGCCTGCCGCCACTTGTCACGACACCATCTCCGGCCTCGAAAGACGTAAATACGATTTTCGGAATATATCTTGACTGTTGTGCTGTAGCGAAGAGGTTTTTCCGGCGCGTCGTGCTGTGAGGCGACATTTCGCCGCTCTTCTTTGATCAGGAAGCGCCAATACCCATCCGACTGCTTACGAATATATCTCAGAAACATCAGTCCTAGCGAGGGAGTAGCCATCGTGGTGGTTTATGGAGTCAATGAGAGAGAATAGATGGCAGCTGTCAGGAATCGCGGCAGCCGGTGCGGACTGCGACGTGGGGCCGGGGCGCGTGGGGGTATGTAGCAAGAGCCGCCTCTTACGAGATAGTGACCGCTTGAGTGAGTTGTTCCTGAGGGGTGTGCTTGGTAAGGGCTGGTGGTTGGGGTGTGAGTACTTCTGTCTTTTTGTTTTGGGGGGGGAGCGTAGAGGGATGGCGTGCCACGGGGGGGGCTAGGGAGTTGTGGGGGGGCGCTTTTGTCTCGCGGGTGCGCGATGGGAACAAATGTCCCGGATCCTAATGCTCCTACCGTTCGCATTGCGAACTACTAACGTGAGGTAAATGGGCGGGGAGGGGAGGAAGGAAGGGGGCGGGGACAGGGAGATAGGTCAGGAGGCGGGGGGGGGTGGGGGGGGGGGCTGCGATGGGGGCCGGGCGATGATATATATATACAGCCCAGCGTATGGCAGAGTATCTAGAGGCCGGTAGCGGTTATGCCCAGGCGAGAGGCGAGGGACCCTCCGACTACGGGGTTCTGGAATCCGTGATAGACAATGACTTGCAGTTTTTTGACGCATGTCACCGGTAGCTTTTCGAGCCATTTCGCGGGGCAGTTGTGGTTGACGACGCGCGGGCGGTGGGGCTCCGGGGGGGGGAGCGGGGTGTTGGGGGACGGGGAGTAGCGGGAGAGGGTTAGATGTGGGGGTTTTAACACAGTGATGCGGTCGAGCCATTGTTCTGTCGATGACCTGTGGCGCGTGCGAACGGCACATGTGTCCCTTCGTTAAACTAGGCTAATGACGCAAATGAGAGATGAATGAGCGTGCGGAGTGCGAAATGTGTATCAAGGAAATTGCAGGGAGAGACGGTAATAGGGCGGAAGGCTCGAATCTGCAGGTTTTATTGGCTACCCAGTCTTTCCAGAATCAAGTTGTAGGGGCGGTGGAGTGTCCGACTGGAGCACAGGTCGAGGCGTCTGCGGGTAAGCAGCAGCTAGCAGGACAGGGGCGATTATTTATTCAGGAAAAAAATGATTGGCAGGGAACAGAAGATTGAAGAGATGAACAGTTAGAGAATAATCGTAGTTGAGCCCTGGAGAGGAGTTGACGGAGTCGATCGACGAAGTCCTCGATTGTTTGATTCTTGGCGGCTGGCGTTGACGGCGAGGAAGAGGGAGCGTTCCTTGGCTGCATGTTTGGCAGCCTTTTATGGTCCTCTGTACCCTTTCGACGCCCCGCGCCGAGGTGACGGCTCCCTCGAAGATCGCCAGGGGCCGGCTCGGGCGCCGGCCGACCGGCGCCCTGAATCGTTCACATCGCTCCCTCCCTCGGGGTAGCCGGCGCGCTCGCGGCGTGGTTCTAGCCACGGAAGGTCACGGGGCAAAGTCGCTCAATCAATTTCAGGGACTCGATTTAAGGGTGATGGCCACTTTCTGAGCCAACAGCATGCCAGTTTAATTTCACTTTTTAGCTGTTTGGTTTGGTGTGCTCGGGGCCTCTTTTCCCTCTAACTAGTTATCGGTATCTACTGTTGTCTGGCGAAATGTTGCTTCGGCAGCAAAGTGCTCGCGGCGAGGCAGTGTAGGTCGTATACTGGAGACCTGGCATGTGTCCTCTGAGTTCGGCTCACGTATTGCGGGTTATCACGCCGAAGTATCGAGCGATTGTTGTGCAGGATAACACGAAAAGTCCAGCGGGGGCGGCGGGGGGGGGGAGGCCGGCGTCGGCTGTGTGACGGGGACGAGCTTGGTTGCGGGAACGTTGCCAGAGACTTTTTCGTGCTAGGGCGCGGACGTAAATAAACCTAAGTCGGCCGGCATTTTGGAATCTTCTCATGTCTACTCTATTTAAGTCTATCCGTAACTCTTTTTGCATGATCTCTGCGTGCTGTCTCGGTTCATGTGACTCGGGCGACCGAACATCTTGGTCGGAGTGGGTCTGCGCATTATGCATTCAGGTCAATCCCACTTGAATCGTCGTATTCCTAATCGACAGCATATCGATATTTCGTTATTTCGGTAACGGATCTCGCTGAAGGAAAATGCGGGTCCATGTGGCACATGCACAGAAGAGATAGCGGCTTTCAGACGCGGGGCCGTGGGGACGCGTATGAGGGTCATGTCTTATGCAGAGCAATACGGAAGGAAAGGTGAGGTGCGTGTGTTTGTCCTGCATTCGTGTGGCACTCTTTTCGATCCTCCTTAGCCTTGCACGAATGTAGCCAAATTCATCTCTCCTGTATATCTGCCATTATTCGTCGAGGTTATACCCCTTTTGTCCATTATTGTGGTTGATTTTTGTGACCTTTCATCAACTCGGCCATGACCTTGTTCTCGAACTCGCCTCCTTTATCCGAAAGTATTGCCTTAGGCCACCTGCACCCATCGGCTATCCATCTCGTGAAAATCACGTTCGCTATTGTTTCGGCGGACTTATCCGCAGTTGGGTATGCCTGTGCGAATTTAGAAAAGTGGTCAATAACTGTGACCGCATACTTGTTTCCGCTCGTGGTCAAACCTAGTTCTAGCACATCCACGCCTATAAGCTCATACGGCTTGGTGCTTACGATCGGCTTCAACGGCGGTATTCCCACCGGTCTAGGATTATGAACAAAACACTGTTGGCACTCCGGTCGGGGGGTGCGCTCTGTCGTCGCGAGCGGGGGGGGAGGGTGCGTGCTGGCGGAGCGTGCGCGGGGGGGCTTGATTCAGTAGGTCGGCCAAGATAGCCGTCTTGCGCAGCTTTTTGTCGAGCAACGCTTAAGGAACGGGCAGCGTGAAAATGGCCTGCCACCGCACCAGCGTGGGCTTCATGAAAGATCTCATATCTTGCGCTTTTGGGAACCGCAAATA